ATGGGCTTCGCGCTCAGCGCGATCATGGTAGGATGGCTCTGGGCTTGAAGATCAATGAAGTGCTTAATGAAGTGCAGTCGGATCTGCAGCAGGGGCTTGCATTGCAGGCTGATTTTCGAACATATTTGGGCGAGTGCTGAGGCGACACAGCCGGATGGCTCTAATTCGGCTGCTAGCCCTGTCTTGGCTTGGCAGGCAGGTTGCGCGCATGTTGCCGTCTGGTTTTCTGATTCGCTCGACAGGGCCAGAGCCGCTGATGAGGATGACGAGAAGTTGGACACCGCGGAGGCCTACCAAGTCACGTGGTTGTTTGCAAAGAGGCCCTTCTTTAATCTTGTGCCCTGTGCAGTCCTGCTGGGTGGAAGACCCTTTGGGCAGCCAAAGCAACTGGGCAAAGCACTGCTGCAGGACTGCAAGAGAAGACTCGCAGTCTCTTCTCTGTGCTTCGGCCGGTTTGGGAGGCCGAAGCCTTGCGGCCAAAGTAAGTGCTGGGTCCCGCCGATGTACACCTACGAGTCCAGGCCCGAGCGGAGCTATCGCTGGCGAGCGACAAGCAGTAAAGGATTGAACACAAGTGAGCCATCGGCTAGTTGGGGGCCGGGATTTTGGACGAAACCTGAGTGTGATATCTTGGAGGTGATGGTTTGTTTTGCTATGTTTGACGACTCGCAGCAGGATCGCATCCAACATTGGCGGGAAGGTTCCTGATCGTGTCATGCCAAAAAAAGTTTGCATGTCAAGGGTGTCCGCTGTCATCTAGCAATTCCTCGTTGCTGACTTGCACTGAGCAGCACATCCGTTGCATTCGTGGCATCTGTGAGTGTTTCCATGTTGTTTCGAGCAGAATGGGTTCTCATCCCGAAGTGTTCGGAGTCAGTTCGAAGGCTTGCAGGCTTGCCGGCTCAGCGACTCGCGAAGCTGAAGTCTCTTTTGAGCCGATCCCGCCGTTCGTAGAGTCGTAGAGCCTCCCGTGACGCTGAGGTTCTGCTGCCACAGCCCGAGAGCCGGAGCGGTAGCGGAGCTAACGAGACCATGACGGGCAAGTGATGGAGTGGCTTCCAGCTAGGAAGCTGAGACCATGTCGTTCTGTCCTATAACAAGGTGATGAGGATGCCTGCCGGAATCTTGCCGTGGAGGAGGCCGGACTTGAGCGACATGCTTGGAAGGTGTTGTGCTGCACTACAACTCAACATCGGACACATTGCGCGAACAGTTCTGCTTGTTGCAGAGAGCAATAAGGACAGTATTCAGATGGACATCTCATGAAGGCTGATGATCAAGAATGAAAGCATACGTCCCCAAGGCTATCTAAGGCCTGCAAGCAGCAGCCTAGAGGAGCTCCTTGAGACACTTCTCCCGGCATACACAAGATACCGGAGCTTGCCGGCACTTTCAGGTGAAGCGTGCTCTGGATCTGACAGTCGAGGCCCCGCAGAAGCAGGACAATCAAATCCCAATCAGAGCGGCTCTTCCTCTTTTCCTGACTGCTTCGGCCCTCGCAGCCAGTCCTTGCCCAACGAGAACGCGTCGTTGCTGGCCTTCCGAGCTGCGCCGCAGGCTGCGAGCCTGATGAAACTTAGATCGGTGGCAGGGGTTGCAGCACGGTTGCAGTCCGGATGGGGACGGACCCCGAGGCATTCAGAAAGATGCGGAGGCTGCAAGTGGAGCTTTCCGCTGCCGACCAGGTCCGGCCATGTTAACGAGCTGGATTAATCTTAGTGTAAATTGACTGCAAGTTCAGGAGGTCTGTACTTGTATTTTCTGCTTCCCAAGAACGGGCACCTTCTGCAGGGATTTGTGCACCATGAGAAACGTGTTCTTCCTGAGCATTCGGAGTGCAAAGCGCGGCGCAGAGCTTGTCTCCAGGGTGCGCAATCAGTAACCATCGAACCGCTATTAATGTGTTTTTCCACCGTTTTGGTGGATTGTGAAAGATGCGCCGTGACATCCTTTCCCAGAAGGCCCCTGTGCGCATTTTGCAGATCTGCTTTCTGGCATGCTGTAGTCAACTCAGGAGCCAAACCGGCGCTGCCAAAACAAGACCAAGAATACGACCAAGGGGAGGTGGTGTCGTGTCCCCGAGAACAGGGGCAGGAACAGGAATCAAAGACAAGAATGCATCCACTCTCCACTTGATCTGGAGTGGAACAGTAACGGCTGAATGGGATTTTGCCGGGGTCGAGACCTCGATTGTCGGAATTGAGGCGCAAGTGTCGTGAGCAAACGGGCTGGCTTTTAATTAAAGGGAGAGCAACCCCTCTCTCTCTCTTTGCCTTTGTCTCTGTCCCTGTCTCTCTGTAGCTCTCCCCCACGCGAGGCATGTACCTGCGGCATTGCCTTCGCAGTTGCAACGCTGCTCTGGTATCCTGAGGACCTGCATGCGCACATTGGGCCCAGGACCATATTAGGATCACAGTTGAGGTTTTCTAGAATCTGGAGGCCCTTTGGAGGGGCCCTCAAACCTTGCATGTGGGACCCTTACGTTTCTGCGCGTTGTTGGCACCGCAGCTGTCATAGCTCCTTGTTTTGCAGAGCTCAGCCTCACTTCGAAGACCCAATAGACGTATGCCATGGTATACCCTGCCACTGCATCTTTGAGCCTCAAAGCTGGACGAGGACAGCGCAGCTTTGGAATTGGCGATCAAGCCAAGGCATCTCTGGCAGCCCCGGGCATACCAGGGTTACAGTACCTTTCAAAAGAGGTCGACATGCTCGACCGGTAGGCCAGCCGCTAGACGTCATCCAGACACCCTCTCTCGAAAATCATCGCCCATCCTCACCATCCTCGTTGGATAGTCGTCAGGTGTTCGTCCTTGATTCTGCTAGATGTATTCACGATGCAAACTGTTCTGTCCCAGAAGTTCAAGCGACAGCGGTCGGAGAAGCACTTCCGACTTCCGAAGAGGCACTGCATTGATTCCTTGACCAGCATCGCAGGTGGTTCCTGGAGGGCGTGGATTGGGGTCGTTTCGTGGAAGAGGGCTGGAGCGGCATCTTCAAGCGCGCGACCCAGCATCTGATGCAACGGCTTGAATCCAGCACAACCTTGCCAGAGACTATACATGTCTTTCCGATAGGTGGCTGGACCGCTTCCCACGTGTTGAAGGCCAGGTTTGCTTTGGGGAGGGTCTGCTGCAGTGTGGGGCGTTTCCGTCACTCTTGGACTCCTGGGTGACAGGGCAAAGGTTTGAGACTGCTCGGCTGGGTATCTGAACTTTCGCGCAGCTGATACTTTGTCCGTTATCAGCATTATCAGCGGGCACTGTTCTGCGGTTGCACATGCCAACAGCATCAGCATCAAGGATACCTAGCTCAGCGACAGCATGTGCTGATTGCACTGGTCCACCCCGGACCCGGCCCGTCATGCACTGACGAATGCTCATCCTTTCACACTCCCGCTCCCAATTCTTGACCTGTGCTGGTCTTCTTGCAGCAGCCAAAGGGTGTGTGCCACCAAACCCCTCTAGTCAGGTGCTCACCGCATCCGTTTATCATGTTTCGAAAACCTCAACTCCTCAACCGCAACCTGGCCACAACCCTGCAGACATCTGCAGACGCCCTGCGGATGACCCACTCCTGGCCTTTTCTGGAAACATCTGGAAATAGAGGCAGGCATGCGAACTGACCCACAGCCGTTGGGTCCTCTGCAGCTCCGTGTCGGTACCTCCCGGCATCACAAGCAGCTACGCTCCACCTTGCATCTGACAATTGTCATGGCGGCTGACACCTTGCACGCAGCAGAGCTAGCTTGCAAGACAATCATGCCCGCGAAGTGCTGCGCAGAACACGTTTGGGCACCCACCACAATCGGTCGGCATAACACATGCACACCCCGGACCCCGCACTCACTTATCAGGGTGCGGGGAAGATAGAGACATGTCGGCGGTTTCCTTTCTTGGGGGGCTTTAACTCAAGTTGTGTAAAGATCTTGTGCCGCTCGAGCCATCCAGAGAAACCCACTGGGGAGAGAGTCACTGCCTCGGCAATTTGCAGTCGACTTTGGAGACTTCTTGTGGCCTCTGCAAACTCCATGTGATCTCACAGCCGCAGCGTCCTCCTGCTCGCAGGCAAAGCGGCCGAGAATGTTGTGCATTCTTTGCATGAGGCCTTGTATCGTCGCGTTGTCAAATGTGGGAAGTGGGACAGCTCTCGACACTGGCCCTGGCGAGCATGTTAACTTCTTTCTGCGCAGCCAGGAATTCGAAGACCTTGCCGAGCGCCGGCAATCACTTCTCAAAGTCGTCAGGCATGAACAAGACGAGGTAACTCTGCTTTTGCTCTTGGTCAGAAGATCTTGCATGTCAAAGCCGGCCGTTCAACGGACCGGGGCAACCTCGTTGTACTGCCAGACTGCGCTCATGGCAGGCTCGTCGTAGATGGGAGAGGGAGTCCAAGGCTTCTGGCTGGCGGCCGAAATTTTCGAAGATGCTGCGTTTTTGCGCGGAGTGTCCCTTGCGCGTTTCTGAGGTGACCTGTCAATCTCGGACGTGATTCGCGAGCTCCGGGAGCAAGGCGTTTTCCAGCGCGAGCGACTCTCAGTAGCTCACAGGAGCATTCCTCGTGAAGCGAGACGCCAAACCCGGTCTCAGGTTTGGCGTCACGTCATGGTAGACCTGGCCTGGCGGCAAAAGGTTCGCCACCCGGTGCAAGTAAGTAGGTCGTCTTTCGTACCCCATGGTCAGGGTCAGAAGTGCGCGGTTGGGCAAGGGACGGAGAGTCCGTCGGGAAGGCCGCCCTTGCAGGTAAATGCGGGTTCCTTGTCATGGGTTTCCGCGCTGGCAGGTGGCTGGCTTGTGAGCCCTGGGAATACCACCTGACCGCCAACTTCTCCTCGGTGTTGCCGTCAGAACGAGACGGTCCAGGCCCGAGCTTCTCCGAGCCCCCCGCACTCCGCTGTCCGCTTGGGATCACCGCTGTGGCCCAGGAATCCCAGGAGGCCTGGGAGACCTGGGCAAGTCGAACGTCGCAGTTTGTGCAAGGGCCCAAACAAGGAGTCAAATCGCGACGGAGGGTCTCTGGCACTTACACACTCAGGTGACAATAACCATGTCGGCTCAGGTCTTGGGAGCTCCCCGCACGGTAGTGAAGACCTACGAAAGCATTCGCGAGAAGGCTGGAATCAGAAGGCACACCCGTGCACAAGTTCTCAACTGCCTTCCGTCCCTCTGAGGTCATTGAAACCCTGAAAGGGGATGCATTCATCTATGCCACCCTGAGAAAATTCGGCCTTTCTGTTTCGCATGCTCTTGAGGGCCTCTAGAACCATGTGCTGGTAAGAAGAGTCTTTCCAGCCAGGTGCCGTTCTCTGGCACTTTCACGCCCGCGTTGGAGGAACTCTGCGGAAGTGACTCTGCACACCAGCTTTTGGAACAAGTTTCTCAGGAACTGGTGCCAAGTGACCTGAGATGCCTATGATGTTTCCAGGAGGACCTGAGGGCTCTGGGCCCTGCAGCAAGGGCCCCGGCGAGCGCCGGCTTCTCGCCTGCGCGTTGCCCGGCATTGCCCGGTGCGCTGTCAGGTCACTGCCATCGTTGTTCCAGACGTCGACCGCAGCACCTTCGAGGCCGTCGCAACGCGACTCAGCCGGCCTGTGCTAGACGCTTTGACCAATTCTGACAGGAGCGGACTCAGAGAGAATTCTACGATCCTAGGTTGTGGATGTGTGGCGCTCAGATATGCCGCCATTCCAGCATTCGGTTGGTTGGGGTCGCGTGCTGGTGTCAGGCTCTACTCAAAGGCGAATGGGCCATGGAGGGCCCCGTTGTTTCGCCAAATGGGCAGCAGCATGTCCGGCGCTTAGGCTTTAGTAAGAGATGCAGGGGGTGCAGGACGGCAAGGGCTGGGGTGTGGCTGTCAGCTGTGAACACCTGCGACCGGGGCTGAACAGAAATTGTACAACTTGACGATCATATTTCGACGAACCGATGGATGTTTAATTTGTACTGTGCAGCATTTCCCCTCCAGATTCCCTGAGGTGGGGATATCACAACCAACATTGCTGCCGGAGGCCTGTGAGATTTGCAATGCCTCCCACTTTGCTCAGATATGCTTCAGATTTAGAAGGATGGTGGAGTCCTTCGAGAGGCTAGGCTGCATCTCGGGTAATCGTAGCAGCTGCAATAGCGATACCATTCGGTCTTTTGAAGGCTCGCTGTCACATGCCCTGGCAGTGTGGCAAACCTGGATTTCTTTGGTGGGAAAGCCAGGGGCCGCTCACACAAGGCCAACACAGACACGGCGCTGTTGAGACGCCGCTTGAACCGCCATTTCTGTATCTGTTGGCATTTTGGAGACGACGGCGTGGTTTCCGTAGCTGCAAACGACAGACGTCTCAATGATTCCACGCCAACCCGGCCATATCCCCGTTACTGTCGGCATTTTTGAGGCGGCACGGCAGGGTCAAGGCCTAGAGTCTAGAATCAGCGACGGTCCGCGCAATTCCCGAGGTGGCCTTTGTCTGAGCCGTGCGTGCCTTTCCCACGTGCACTTTAGGGTCCAGGGTTTAAAGGTGTAGGGTTTTGCCATGCAACACCGCCTAAGCTGGCAATGCACTTGTGGCCAACATCCAGTGCTTTTCAGCCTCTGCCACGCAGAAAACAGGTTCAGGATATCCAAAACCCCTTTTGCAAGTTGAACGACCACTGCAAAAACCTGTCAAGAGTTGACCACTTGCGTTGCAACTTCAGTCGGACATGCCAAGACGGATCTTTTTTGTTGCGTCCTGGAGTGCTATGGGCTGATGGCAGCAATGAATGAGCAGCAAGCCCAACTTTCGGCTGATCAACACCTTGATTTCTGTTCTAGCCTAGGCAGCAGAGAGGTTGGGAATATGAGTGGGTCGTCGGCACCCCAGCCATCAGCCCCTGAAGCATGAAAACCTCAGCCGCTATTTGTGACACCTGTGTAAGGTCTTTGCGAGGGCAGAGATGGTCTGGGTACATTATCATCCACCGATCGAGGCCCAAACTGCAGCAACACCCTCCGTGGTGTTCGTCTGGGGACGGGGCAGAAGGTCCTCAGCCCGAACTACGTGTACATACCGATGGGCCAGGCGTGGCCCATAGTTTTGTTTTGGTCTCAGGTCCAAATGCTCCACAAGTTCATTTTCAGAAGATGCGGAAGGACAACAGCTTCTACAACTTCAATGACTTGAAAGGCGTTAATGCTCGGTTCTCGGTCTCTCTTCCTGCGACCCAACCGTGACGTCGCTTCTGTGAGAAGACCAAGGACAGGCATGCCGTGGTGCCTAGACGTTGGTTCAAATCCTATTTCAACCGCTGGGAAGTCCGCGGCTCGAACTTCGCACCGTTCCTGTGAACTGCCTTGGGGAGCATTCGTTGATGCAGTGAGTTTCCACACCCAGTGCCTGCTCAACGGCAACGCCTGGAAATACTTGGCCAAAGTTGCCAAGGCAAGTTGCAACATCTGAACCTGATTGTCGAGAGCCTGTGAAACAGCGGAGACAGGCAGGCTACATGATCAACACGGAGCAGTACCTCTGGCTCCACCTGCAAGCTGAAGGAGTGGCGCCCTCGGGGTTCACAGTCCCTGTCGCTTCGCGACCTTCTCTGAGCCCTTGTTGCATGAAGCCTGGAATGCTCGTTTTCGTGGTGTAACGAGTCTGACACAGAATGTGAGAGGATCGCGGGATGCCTACCAGTTGGCCGGGCAATCACCGAAGCTCCTCAAGCATAGCACAGGAAGGACTGACAACAGTTCCAAGCACTTGGTGCCCGCCCGGCTAATCATCACAACACCACAAATGTTGGGACGTGCGAGTCGGGACTTGAATCGAACGGGCGCCGAGACCGAAACCCCAAGCTCACTCTCTGATGCTGGAACAGTCATCCGAGACTTGCAGCCCAGGTGCAGGTTAGACGATTCCCACCGGTGTCCTTTCTGTCGCATTGCCGTGGTCTCAGTGGTTTGCTACTCCGGCTCTGAGTCCAGCGCCTGGCCTTGTCCGGGAGCTCTTTGGGTTTCTTGCAACTTGGGTAGTCTCGATGTCCTGAGGCACCGAGGGTCCCCAGTGCCAGCATCTCTACAAAGGCACCGACCTGGGCAAGCGACCGGGTGCAATTTGGTGCCTGTGTGGTTTTGTAGAAGTGAATCTTTCATGTACAAGCCAAGGGTGCGATGGACACAGACAGCAAAGTATTGGACCGAGATGCTGGAGTCGCGGCGGACAATTGTGGATGCCAGATCCTCTGACTTGATGCTTTGATCTGGGTACTGGTAGCCTTTGGAGTCAGATGGACGCTAAGACTTCAGGTGCCAGGACTTCTTGTCGTTACCTTGACATCTGTGTCAATAGTCTTTCTTTCGCAGCGGCTTCAGCTGTTGTCACGAAAGCTTGCTTGAAGTGCGCAACGCAGACAGCAAAATGCTCGTTCGAGAAAAAACTTCAAGCCCGGCTTTCGTCGCAACAGAGCAGTCCTTTGATCTCGCAAGGGCCATACGGCTGCATGGAAATCGTGGAAGCCTGAAATTCGCTTTGACTGGCGATGACCGGCGCTTGCATTGAAACCCATGCCAGGACTTCCACTATGTCAAGAGGCCAGAGAAAGGCTGGATCTGGTTCCGCCAGTGGCCGCCCGTTCCTTTGTCTGGTGCTCAGCACCTTCCGAGTCGTGTCGACCGTCACATTACCATTTTCTCTGCCCCTAGGTTTTGGGGGGCCATCACCAAGAAGCAGTTCGAAAAACCGTTGGAGGAAGCGCCATGGGGCAATCGCACCCAATCTCACTGCAGTCTTGCTGCCGGCAGGATGTTGAACCGCAGGAGCAGGTCGGCGCCGACCTTGCGTTGCACTCTCAGCCAAGCGCATTGCGGATATTTTGCAGATTCCTCCCAGTTTGGATCAAGGTGCGGCCTGTCGAAGCACGGTCCAATCTCAAGCTCCCTGGCCTGGTCACATCGATTGCTGCTGACGATGCTCCAATATGCTCAATGCTTTTGGACTTAGCGTTTGAGTTGCTCCGTGACGAGGTCTGCGTTGGGTGTTTTTCCTACGCTGTGAGTGCCACGCATAGGCTGAGACCATCTGTACAGCTCGGCCTGCGGAGAAAGAACTGCGTCCGAGCACCTGAGGCACCTGATGCATAAATGCAGCCAGAGCTCTTGCCGGTCTATGTTGTCAAGCCTTGCCCAGAGAAGCAAGCGTTGCTATCGCTTCTTTGCCAGTCTCAGCCCCGGGTTTTGGGAGACCGGGTGCCAAATGGCACATCCCAGCTGCTTGGCGAGATTTGCGATTGTTCGCACGATTGATGCGTCATGGTAGGTTCGGATGATACATACATCCATCCATCCATCCA